ACTCGACAATGTGAGCGAAGTATCCACTCATCTTTTCAAGAACTTCCAGGTCCGCAAGGCGTTTCGCAAGGCTAATGGCGGCATACTCCCCCTCGTGGTCTTTATCTGAAATGGGATGAAAGTCGAGGACACGCTCAACGAGTTCCCAGTCTTCCGTGATCCAACTCCCGATCGTGCCAGCGAAGGTAAACATCATTGATCGTGTCGTCCACGTATCTTCTGAAGTAGAAATCTTGGATTTGACATTCTGGCTCAATCAGCGTCGACAGGGACTTAAATTTAGATGTAACTTACTGCTAACTCCTCTTTGAGCGTGTCATACATCTCGGCGTACAACTTTGCCAGCGTGTTGCGCACTGTGGTGTCACTGGGAAGCTGATAACGAGAGTGCATGAACTTGAACAACCTGTTAATCCCGACCGTTTCACCGGTAGAGAATGGCAGGTCGTCCTCAATGATCCAGGCAGCAAAAATTTTCAAAAAGTTAGCCTGCGTAGGATTAATGGCGGGGTTGAGCTTTCCGTCGATCAGGAACTCTTCCATGATCTTAGCACTCGCTGCTGAAATGCCGCGTGTGAGTCCTGGCTCAACGTCTTCCGGGAGAGGAATATCCCCGTGCGACTTGTTATGCGTCGCAAGCCGTCCGAGGGCTGGCTGCGGGCTCTCGTCGCCGAAGAGTTGGTCCTTCTCGACCGTACGCTTGACAGTGATGGATCTAATATAATACAATGTCAGAAATTAAGGGTGAAGAAACCGAATCTACTTACGTCGCGCAGTGCCTGCATTTAAACTCCCACCGCTTCTCCCGATCCACCGTAACGGCTTTGGGAGGGAAGAAGTGATCACGGGAGGTGCTCTTGGGCCCCCGCTTTCCGCCCTGGCGAGGCTCATCGTCAGATTCATCATTAACCTCGATTACTTCGACATTGGGCGGATCCGAGGCTGGAGTCGACGTGGTCGTGGGCTTGGGCTTGGTCTTGGCCTTCTTCTTCAGACGCTGATATTTAAAATTAGAATCTGCTCCAGAACAAATGTATAATGACGCACCTGTTTAGCGGCATCTATGTCCTCACCCTCTACGACGAGAAGCTTCCGTTTGCGCGACTCCTAATTTTATTGTGTTAGTTGGTACCACCGAATGTATGAATCACTCGCCGTAGTTGGCGCAGCGTCCTCATTTACATCTTCAAAGTCATCTTCCTCTTCCTCCGAGAGGACAGGACCGCGGTGCTTGCGTGGCTTGTAATTATTGTCTGCCCGCTGCTTCTTGCCTTTCGGTTCCATAACACCTGATATATATATATATATACATATATTAATAGTCGTATTCCAGTGGTAGAAAATATACTGACGGTCAAACATATTGTCGAGCGTCACTGGCCCTTTCTCTTTCCCCTTCCCGGTGTCCTTGGGCTTCCCCTTCGGCGCTGTCGAAGCATTCTCCTTGGAGTTCGCTTTCTTGGGCTCGGAAGTATTAGGCACGCTACCATTGAGATTAAGATGAAGATTATAAGTAGATATGCATTGACGTACCTGATACTTTCCATCTCCTTCACAACACGCTCCAATTTAAGTCGCGCCCCCTCCAGATCCACATCGGACGCGCTCCACTTGATTGTACGGAGATACTTCACAACCATCAGCATCCCCATCTCGCCTCGCCTAACGAATCGAAGTCGGCCTTCATCATCACGGCACTGAGCGTCCTCCTTGAAGAGGATGTCGAAACGGCGATTGAAAGTTGATGCGACGCTGTCTTCATCGTGGCCTACAATATTTGTGAGCACATGATAGATCTTGTCGTCTATTGTTCCCTCGGGGATGGTGGCTGGCAGAGAAGGAGCTAGATCGCTGATCCTGTCCGTGAGCTTCCTGAGTACGACACCTTAATATAGACGCGTCAGATTATGTCTATTTGTGGGAAGATGACATACCAGCTTTAACGCGCGCCTGCTCAACGAGATGTTGATGGGCAGCGTTGGGAGCTTCCGAATTGTTTGCATTGGTCAGGTGGGTGGACGCGGTACGGCTGCGAGAGCCTTGCAACATGAGAGATGGGTCAGGAATGTCGCGCGGCGCCATGGTGGTAGCTCCGTGTGATCTGGCGCGTCTCGTCACAAAAAAAGTCACATTTTATACGTTCCACACCTGTTCCGACGACGTGGCCAGCGAGCTCCGCGCGAAGTGAACAAGGAGCTCGCTGGCCACGGCGAGAAGGAATGATGCAAAGCTTGTGCAACAATGATCCGACGGGATTGGTGCCGCAAATACGGATTGCTTGGTCTGGGCCATTTTGAAGGCACAAAAACCGTTTCCGAACCGTTTGTCGAACCGTTTCTCCACCCGCACAAACCAAACGGAAATAAAAACGGTTTTTACCGTTCGCAACCGTTTGCGAACGGAAATGATTGGAGCCTTAGGTATAAAAAAACCCGCGATCTCCTTGGAAATGGCGACGGTGGAAGATTTCAAAAAGTGGAAACTCACCAAGAGTGAGAAACACTAAAAGAGAAACAAGACAGAAATCTAGACCATTGCGTGTTCGTGGCAGAAATAGCTAGGAAAATATACGAGTAGGTGGTCGTGGTATGGGATCAAGAGCACAGAGGCACATGAGTGGGAGCGTGTGAGTGTGTAATGTAAGCAGCATGTTTACAACCGGGTTCTTCATGCAGAACTAGCTCTGGAGCTAGTTCTGCAACGGTTCTGGTTCTGGTTCCGGTTCTCTGCACTCAGTTCCCCTTAATCATTTCTTTTAATCGAGTTTAGAACTTGTTTTACAGTAGTCTAATATCGCACGGTGCAAATGTTATTCTGCTTTGCACCATCCTGACGTTGCGACGCCGGGTGTCCTTCGCAAAACACGGGATGGCTGCCGTGCCCAGAGTCACTCCTGGCCAGGGACCGTCTTCGCGCGGCCGGGCTGTGCTAGACACGCAGCATTCTTGAGTTGATCGACGGTGGAGCCGCACTCTCCTGTCTGGGTTTCGAGCAATATAAAAGCATCGCTCATCTCTGGAGGGCTCAGCTTTCTTGCCTTGCCGCTTGCTCGCTCTGTGCTCACTCGACAATTTGCTCTACCCACCCACCCGCATCCAATTAGATTACCAGAAGTCATGTATACTATGTAGCGGTCTTTCCCTTATACATTTCTTCGTGGGGCTCGCGGCTCAAAGCCGTGGGTCGTCGTCTCGCTAAACTCCCCGCTCATTCGTGAGTACGTCGGAATTAAATATCATTAAATACTAAATATATACTATAAAATATTTCCCATCCGCTAGGGAGTCGTGAGGCGAGGTCAAAACCAAGGCCTATGGCTTGGGATTAACCAGGTATTAGACGGGCCATAGCATGCTTGCGTGGTAATTAAATAGCGCAGTTTAAATTTAATTTCAGCATGCCTTTGGATGCGGAGGTAGGGCTGAACTGTGAACAGTTTTTCAGTGCGCTGACTTCCATTTGTGTAGGTGTAGCGATAGGATGATGGTAGGTGCACGGTGTACAACTGGCAGAAGATACGAGACATAAATGAATAATTTATTGAAACATGAGAACCGGCCACAGAACTGCTTTTCAAAATGGGTGGTCAAGATTGGAGGCCGGTTCTGGCCGGTTCTGATGCAAATCAATTGTCAGAACCGGTTTCAGAACCGGTTTCAGAACCGGCCTCAGAACCGGCCTCAGAACCGGCCTCAGAACTGCTTTTCCAGCCTACTCTGACTGCCCCTATTTGGAGAACAGAGTACGCCCCGGAGACCCATTAAAAACATAGGACCCAAATTTTGGAGGCCAAAGCCATTAGAACTTGTTTGTTGCAAATTATGGGTGCATATATTAGCCGTAGTCCAATTACTGAGTGGAAGCAGGCCAAATCGTTCTGAAAACAAGATTGGGCAATTTCGGACCTTTAAGGAGGTTTTGGAGGACAGGGGTTTGGCCCACATGTTGATACATGTTTGTGCGTGCTCATGCAAGAGATTGAGGCCCTCACACATGTATTCATAGAGAGCCCGAGGAAACATCTTTGAGCAAATTTAAAACCCCGCTAAGAGGGAAATCGAGCGGAGTTGGAAAACAACCAACCGTTAAGGGTCACGCGTCAGAAAGCAGATGTCAGATAGATATCTTGAGGTACGAAAGTTGAACCCTATCTACTGCTGCCTCTGGGAGACTACCCGCACTGCATAATTAACTCTTCTACCTCCGAAGAATCAGATCCTTGCCACAGTGGCACTACCAATTCGCAATCCGCCGTGATCATCAGCGGGATTTACCCAGGGCCGAGCTTTTTTGGTTCTCAAACCGTGCCAAGCACATTTCTGAATATAGGCACATCGATATCCTGAAGTATGCAGCCAATCCATCAGTATCTCGAATCTAAATCAACCCACTGGCAAAAAATCAAAAAAAAAATCAACAACTGTGAACCCCCGTCTCCCACATCAATCAACGTAGCAAGCATTTCTATAGCTAAGAGGTGTGGGTGATTTCCATTAATCAACCAGGGCTCTTTACCCTTCCAACGAACCTGGATAGACCTGCACATTGTTCATGGGAGCCTGCAAGACATTTGCAAAAATCGGGGAGCACAAGACTTCTTTGCAGAGTATAAAAATATTTGAATACCGCAAGGATCTGTCTTGAATCCCAATTTTTTTGGGGGGGGTTTTTGTAAAAAAAAAAAAAGGACGGTTTTGCTGCTATGCCCTAGGGAGGATTCGAACCTCCATCTCCCCATTAATAATGCTCCCCATGGCGTGTGGGTGATTTCCATTAATCAACCTGGGCTTTATACCCTTCCAACGAACCCGGATATACTGGCACATCTTCCAACCGGTTCCACAGAATGGATTCCTTCAATCCACGGTGTGTACAAGTGCCTGAACGCGACAGTAAATCGGCGCGGATCCGTTACATAGCGCACCCAGATGAAAACAGAGCAGTACTGGCATCTCGAGCCTACATCAAACAGAAGAAAAAAAAATTGCGATCCTTTATCATGCCCTGGGGAGGATTCGAACCTCGGTCTCTCACATAAATCTGCTCGACAGTTTTCTAGTCAAGAGGTTACCATTAATCAACCAGGGTTTTATACCCTTTCACATGGACTTGGACATACCAGCACATTTTTTCAAGGTTACCCGCCTTTACATCCGCAGACTGCAAGCGAAAACAAGAGCAACAATAATAAATTCACTGAGAATCTATCGGTTCAAGTATATGAACACATAAATATACCGATTCTAAACCAAACCGGAAAAAAAAAATCCTACTCATCGCGCACAATGCCCCAGGTAGGATTCAAACCTCCGTCTCCCACATCAATCCGCATCGCAACTTCGCTTAAAGGGTGTGGGTGATTTGCCATTAATCAACCAGGGCTTTATACCCTTCCAATGAACCTGGATATACCATTGGCACATTTTTGCAAAGCCCGAAAAGAAAAGTTTACATGAATCCAATTGACACCGATCAGGTTGCGACAGCGGTCCGCCTGCTAAAATCACCGAAATTCAAGGACTCCCCAAGTACCTCCAATATACAGTCAGATATACGCAGCACCAGTATCTCGAGCGAATCCGATTTATCAAACTGTGGAAAAAGAACTCATTTACACTCGGACATGCCCTACACCGCCATTTGAGTCGGATGTTTTTCAAACATTTGAGCCTGATAGTTTCAAAACATTTCGGAAGATGTCACAGATACGTTGACCTAAGGTTTTAGAAACATTGAAAACAAAATATCCTTGCAACATTCTCTGAATGTTTTCAAAACGTCAAGATAACAAATAAGATACATCTTGAACAACATGTAAAAGATACTCAACATTTTGTAATCTTGTTTCCAAGTCCCTGTGATGTAGAGAAACTGAGACTGTTGATTCATTTGTTCAGTTGCCCGCTGTTGAGTTAAACACCGCCAGCAAGTTAACAATCTACGAGACCAAGACAAAGCTCAGAAAAAGCAGCCAGTTGCGGTGCTGACGCATGCCAAATGTGAGTCGGATTATTAAACTCCTGAGCCATATCCAATGTTCAGCCAATGCTCAGCGTGGTCCACTGGAGTTGAAGTCAGATGCTGAGATGGTCCGTGTGCATCAGACCAAACACGTGTCAATGTTGGTCAGTCACTGCTTCTTTTCTCCCTCTCCACTCCTGTCCCTCGTTTGCGCCTTGTGGCCACATCCGACTATTGGCCGTGCTCACTACAATCACCCATGACCTATACGGCTCAAGAGTGTCCAGTGCTGCCACAGTTGATTCAAGTTCGCTCATGCCACTGAAGCCAAATAGGCCACTCGCTCCTTTTCCCCTAACCTCTTGGCAGCTGCTCGTCAATGGTACATAACCTCCCCATCCTCCTCCTTCTCTCTACAATCCCTCCAATCTCTACATGCATAACAACAAGAACCCCACCTCAAGGTCATTTCAAAAGCGCAATCCCTTAATCAACCTCCCAAGCTGCCCACGTCACAAGCTCAAGCGGCTACTCACCACGCAATATTTCGTGCTCGCACATTCAAGAAGCTCAAGGGGCCAATTGCCACTCAATTCTCATGTCCGCACCTTCACCTTCACGCAAGTCACAATCTCCTTGTGCCGCAAGCGGCGATGTTCAGCCCAGCCTTCAAGGATCAACATGCAAACGCAACCTGCAAGTCAGCAAGTCTCTCGGAGCTCAAACCGTCAAGATTCAATATCAACAATCGGGCTGTCCTCATTTTGATAATCGACGCAAGCGCCTCATTTATTCTAGGATAGTTGCTTTTTTGTACTTTTTTTCGGCACCCGCAAATATATATGTTTCCGCTCTCTATTGGAATATGGACAATAATATAAAATTGAGTACATGAATGGCCGATATCCCAAAGTTACCCCGGAAACGTCGTGGAGATGTTTGAGAGACATCCACCTCAAAAAAGTCTCAAGGGATTTGAGGTTTTTTGTTTTAAAAACGTTGCGGAAGCATCACCGGCATTATGTCCGAACATTGATTCAAAAACATTTTGAAAATGTCCCATCCAGATGGCGGTGTAGGGAGGAATCGAACCTCCGTCTCCCACATCAACTGGGAGAGCCTTGTATGGGTCATGGGTGATTTCCATTAATCAACCAGGGCTTCATAGCTTTCTACCGAACTTAGATATACCTGCATATTCTATAAAGCCCGAAAATAATCCACCAACTGGTTTTCTCGAAAGTCCGCCTGTTCAGTGATTAGAGTTCGTTGAAGCAACAACGAAATTCAACAAGATTGTAATCTGTCCTCAAGCGCATGATACAGACGTACATCAGGTTTTTTGAATCTCAATAATTTAAAAAAAATGAAATGAACAGTTACATGAATGCCCTAAGGAGGACTCGAACCTCCGTCTTCCACGTCAATCTTCTCCAGCAACCACTTCATGGGCTGTGGGCGATTTCCATTAATCAACTGGGGCTTTATATCTCTTCAGATGAACCTGGATAGACCTGCACATCTTCATGGCGCTAAATCGCAGCGAGAAGCTAGTTGCCGACTCGGAGACCCGAAAAAGAACCCGAATAAAATTCTCACATCTAGAATTCAATGAGCCTCATAATCCCTTCAGTGTCCACCCGGTGTCCCAAATACATGCTGGCCCTTTAAATTTGAATTCCAAGCCTTTCAAAAAGAAAACTACCTTATCGACCCATGTGCTGGGGAGGATTCGAACCTCCGTCTCCCACATCAATCCGCCCGAGAAACACTGTTAAGGGGTGTGGGCGATTTCCATTAATCAACCAGGGCTTTTATTCCCTTCCAACGAACCTGGATAGACCTGTACATCCTTCGAGCTTCAAGGCTGCAATGATTTTCTCAACAAGGTTGAGTCCGCTGCCCACCAAGGTTCGTTGAAAGCACCGAAATTCAAGGATGCATCGATAAGGGCAGTCAGTATCTCAAATGCGAATCAAATCAACCCACTGGGAAAAAAAAAGGGAACATGTTCAAGACTCATGCCCCGGGGAGGACTCAAACCTCCAGCTCCCACATCAATTCAGCAATTTCTTTGGTTAGAGGTGTGAGCGATTTCCATTAATCAACCAGGGCTTTACACTGTCCCAAAACGACCAAATGCACTTGCTGATCGATGACCCGCGTTTCGTTGTGATGTGGCTTCCCTTCGAGGAGTGTCTGGAGGATTGGAAGCTCGGTGCGAAGGGGGGAAGGGACTTTTGGTCCCACGCAGAGAACTTCGTTGCGAGAAGGGGAAGCGGCTAAACCGAACCAGGCATGTCCTGCTGCACCCGCAGAAACACGCCGCTTACTGTCCTTTCCTACTTTTTAGCCTCACGCTGCTGGCTTGGAGACTTGGACTTAATCGACTGAGATCTCTCAGTTTCCTTTCTTGCACTCAGCGCCCTTTGAGAACCCGCTCACGAGGTATACGTATATATTCGTTGCACACGCGAATGTTGAGTCCTACCCAATGGTCGAAAGTAGTACTTCCTCAGTGTCCGCCTTGAATCTGATTTAGACTGATAGCAACATACCACCGTCATGGATCGAATCCGTTTGATGGAGGGGTCAACCTCTTCGCTGTTCTGAGCCACGGGATGTGGAAGTCGGTGGTGGGTTTCACCGAATTGGGTTCAAGTTGCGTTGTTGCGTCGCATTCGCTGTGGCCTACGATCTATCGCACACATCGTTGTGCGGAGCTCTGTCTGCGCTCCCCGACGCAGTCAAAAGTGGATAATTGTGGTTCGACCTTGCCGCGTGACTGGCCGAATTTCCTACAGCTTTGACGACCAAATGAGAGCAGATACAGGCCGGTATTACACTCTCCTTGGACTATTGTACGGCTGTGACAATTATATCCCATTGAGAGGCAGCAGGAGTGCAGTATGGACCAAGAATCCGTAATACTATACATACAGTAACTCGACTATCTTCAAAGTCAACAACAACTTCTGGATGATATTGAAGGAGCCTGAAATAAACTGACAATGAACGAATAGTGGATGAATGGGACTCGTGGATTGATATACTGGGATAAGATCGAGGGAAGGGAAACAGAGGGTGAGTGCCTCCTACCGAGGTGCGTTCGAAAAAGAGCAACGCCCCAGGCAGTGCGAACTTCAACTTTTGGGGTTGAATATTGAACGGGAGAGATAACTAATTACTCACTACCGTCTGGGTCGTCCTCGGACGATACAGGCTCTGAGTCTACCGTGACTGAATGCGCCATGTAAACTTCTGGGCTGGGAAGAAAGAAAGAAAAAAGTGCCGGTGAAGGGAAAACAAATTGCCGCACGTTTGCCTTCGAGGAGAATGAGAGATACTACTTGGAAAGCTCGTAATGACGAAAAAAGGTGTGGGATTTTTTATTATTAAAATAAGTAAATGAAAACTAATTAATTTGGTTTTAAAAAATAGAGGACACGTCGCGCAATCATATTGGATCCTCCACTGGCCACCGATAGTGCCTTCGGCTCCACAATCCCATACAAATGTCGAACGTCGAACACCTACAGACCCCCACGTCTCGCTCCACACACAAGCGGCGCCAACGCAGCACGGTACATATAGCAGGCGCGCAACCCGGACCCCGCAGGCCTCCCGCGCAGCGGAGGAGCCACCGTGCGCACCCTGCAAGCGCGCGCAACCCAAAAGCGACCACCGCCGACGCCGAGGATCCATTAGCCCCGGCGCCGCAGCACACACTCCCCCCCACTACCGTGCCGCGACGAACGCGCAATCCCAAACGCGTAACCCCAAATGAACGCCGACGCAGTCCATCATCGTCCATCGGACAGGCAGCCTCCAAAGCCACAAGCCGCCGTGTTCAAGAAGGAGAAGCCGCTGTCCTAAAAAAGCAACCCCCCTCACAAAAAAACAGCGAATCGAAAGAACCCCCCAAAAAAACGATAGACGAAAGAACGAAAGATGATGATGATGATGATGATGATGAGAGACTTACTTGAACACGTTCACGCCGGCCTTCGATGCGAATCTTGACGCTCTTGTAGATGTCCTCCGTGCTGCCCTGGTAGTCGACGCCGAGCTGTTGGGGGTGGGAGCATCAGTGTTCATAGAAAAATAGATAAAGGGAGAAACAGGGA